GTCACCATGCCTGGCTTGTTTATTTTTTGAGACAAAGCCTTACTGTAGCACAGGCTGGCCTCAAACTCACAATCCTCCTACATCAGCCTCACCAGGGCTGGAATCACAGGAATATGCCACCACACCCAGCTGGCTATCTTACTTTGCTCGTTGCTGAGACAAAATATCTGACACCCAAAGTTAAAGGGGGAAAATTTATTTGGCTCACAGTTTGTAGAAGTTTTAGTCCATAGTTGGCTGGCTCCGAGGCAGAGGGGCACTGCAGAGGAGAAGCAGTTTGTGGCAGCAGAAGACAGCGAAAGCCTCAGAGGACCTTAACACTGTCTTTCTGCCCCTTTCACCTAGGCTGCTCAGGGCAGGCAATGCGCCTGAGCCTAGCACTGCACCACGAACCCATTCCAGCATCACACCCTAGACCCAGCCGCCCAGTCTGGAAGAGCCCCACCTGAGACTGCAGGAGGCTTTGGGGGATGTCTAGACAGTCTAGACACAAGCCACAACACTGGCCTTGGGCCCTGGCAAGCCCCCCAAGCCCCCCAAGTGGTTCGGATGCAGGCAGAGGAGTGGAGTCCTAGTGGGGTTCAGTCCTTGCAGAGGGAGGAGTGGGGTGCACCCTCAGCTGCCAAGACTCGCAGAAGGCCCTGGGCAGAGGGAAGGGCAGCGCAGTGTGCGTGAGAAGCCTGCACCCCTGTGCTGAGCTTCCTGGGCCACCAGCTTGTGACCTGATAGTGCCTCCTCCCGACCTCGGGACCCAGCCCACGTGGAGCGCCTCAGAGCCTCAGTCAGGATCAGAGCTCCAGGTCTGGCCTGGCCTCTGCTGCAGACTGGAAGGAGGGGCCCAAGCTGTGCTGGGATTGGGCTGGGCCCGGTGGCTCATGGTGCTCCTTGTCCAGGGAATCAGGTACACAGAGTGCCACGCATCCTCGGGCCTCCCGCCCTCATGACCTCATCTGTGACAGGACCGCAAGCACCTTGCAGAAGAGGCAGGGGAAAGGGACAGGTGACAGGAAAGCACCAGCTGCAGCCCACACCCCAGGGTCCCCCACCCCAGCCGTGGGAGAACAGGGCCTGTGGGACAGCACGAGCGTCCCCACCAGCCTCTGGAGCAGGAGCCCTGCAAACCTAACAGCCAGAGAGAAAGGACGGCCGGCACTGGGGGGAGACGGTAGCTGGGTGCCCTCACCCTTCCCACCCTGAGGGGTCCTGCTCTGCCGGGAGAAGTCTCGCCACACCTCAGCAGGGAGAGAACGCCTGGTCCCTGAGTGACACCTGCTTCCCACCATGCCCCTCTGCGGGCAGCCTGGAGGAGGAGGACAAGGTCTCTGTTGGGTCCACGCCCCAGCCTGACCACTGCAGCCCAGTGTGACTCTGGCTCCATCTGCTGGCAGCCAGGGGGACAGCCTGGCATGGCACCCAACTCATGCTTGCAGGCCAGCAGGACCCAGGACAGAGTCCCCCAGCTCCTGCCTCAGACCTCAGTGGAACCCCAAGGCAGCAGAAGGATCACTCACCTGTGTCCCACTGGCACCCTGCAGCGTCAGGCCTGGCCCCTCGCCAGCTTGCCAGCCCTGAAGTCGGCAGGAGGAACAGAGCCCTAGCCAGGATGCCCCCTCTTCTGCCGGGGTGCCTGGGGCTGTGGAGCCCTCACTTCTACAGCCAACCCATGGGAACACGGGCTGCCCTGCTCACCCCTAGAGCACCAACCCTTGGAACACCTGGTGCCCACGGCAGCCCTGGACCCTGCAGGGCTTGAGGCTGTTGCTTTCAGTGTCATCATTTTAGCATCTCTGCGGACAAACTGCAGGAGTCAGGTGGCCACAGGCCTGGAAGCAGTTCCCCCGGCCCTGCCCAGGCCCTCCAGTTCCCCTGTCCCTGTTAATCTCCTGCTTTCCTGGCACTACCCATGCCGAAGCGGGGGGTCGTCCCGGCTCCTGTCCCACAGCGGCCTTCGGCCTGAGGACACTCGTGAGCTTCTCCAGCCCACAGCCACCGCCGCCGCAGGACAATCGCGGGGGTCCCAGGTTCCGAGTCTTCTGTGTAGGGCTGGACGGTGCGTGTTTCAGATGCTGCCGGCCAAAAGGCAAAACCAAGGCTGCAGGGCGGGGCTCATGCTAAGCCGCCATCTCTGCACCGCGCTGTCAGAAGCAGCCACAGGCAATGTCCTCGAGCGAGGCAGCAGGGTTGTGTTATAATCAAATTTTGTTTTCACATAACTTTCATGTGTCACAAAATATTATTGTTCCTTCAATTTGTTTTCCAGCCTTTTAAAATTACAAAACCCCGCGAGGCACAGTAGTGTGTGCCTGTAGTACCAGCTGCTTAGGAGGCTAAAGCAGGACAAGTGTTACTTTAAAAAGTGCAAAGTGGGGCTGGGGATGTAGCTCAGTGGCATAAGTGCCTGCCTGCCAAGCACAAGGTCGTAAGTTCGATCCCTGGTACTGCAAAAAAAAAAAAAAAAAGTGCAAAGCTCAGCTGCAGATATAGCTCAGTGACACAAGCTCCTGCCTGGCAGGTGAAAGGTCCTGGGTTCAATTCCTGGTACAAAAAATGCAAAATTATTTGTAGCTCACAGTTGGTACAAAAACAGGCCCACCTGCCATAACTGAGCAACCCATCCGTTTTCCATGCTCCAGGCAAAGTGATTTCTGCCAAAATGTGCTTTTGATTGGCAGTGACAGGAGCCAGCCAGGACCAAGCTGGCTCCAGCTCCTCCCCTCAGGAAGCACAGGTAAGCACCGCCTGGGCCCCACACTTTGCTCTAGGACTGGGGCTACAAAGGTCAACAGGCCAGGCCTCTAGCCTAGAGGGGCCCCTGGTCTGAGACAACCTCTCTAACTGAGGGTGGTGAAATCAGAGCTGTGGTCTAGGATTTCCTTCCTCCCTACCGCACACTGGGATGAAGCCCAGGGCCCCAAGCGTGCTCAGCGTGCCCCCCACCCCACCCCAACGTTCTTCAAATGCACCAGGTCAGTGTGGACTTGAGAAGACCACGGTGTCGCACCGGTGAGCGTGAGCAGCACCTCCACCCACAGAAAGGACACAGGCGTGCAGCTCCGGGTGGAAGGGGAAGCCCTGGGCTGGGGCACTGGGAGGACTGCCCAGACAGGCAAGGGGCTGCTTTCCCAGGGCTGCATCACTAAGTGCTGCGAACTGGGGGCTCGGGACAGTGGGTCACATGGCATCCAGGTCTGGGTACTGCAGGCCACGCTCCACCAGAACCTTAGGAGGAACCTTCCTGCTTCTCTCGGCTCCTGTGGCCCAGCAGCCCGGCCCTGCAAAGCTCCGCTGTGCCAAGACACTGCTGTCCACGCCCAGCCTGGGCCTCGGGCACTCGAAGCTCGAAGCTGGCCCCTGAGCTACACCCCCAGCGCCACCGCTTCCAAGGACATTCAAGGGCACTCAGCACCCACAGCTCCTGGGCTTCCGGTCTGTCCAGATGCTTAGAGGGCAGCACCAACCTCTAGGACATCCAGTCCCCACCCTTGGCCCAGTGCAGAACCAGGCACGGCCTTGCCTGCCAGGGCTGCTGAGCTCTTGAGCCTCCCGACTGTGCTCCTCAGCCCCACTGGGGCGGGGGCAGGGCAGCCAAGCTTCCTTCCCGGTCTGGACAAGGGGCCATTCATACCCATCCTTTTCTTTGTCATTCAGATAACACTGTCCTGCTCACCCCAGCAATCTACATGCATGCTTTTCCTCTGCAGCTGAGCCCAGGTGAGGACACAAGAGCTGGCCAAGGTCAGCCACGGGGCTCCTGTGTGGTCTGTGGCAAAGATCAGGCCCTGGGCCTCTTCCGTGCCAGGTATGCCTGACCCTGAAACATTAGACAGGGCTTCTGCTGCCTTGGGCGGGCAGCCGGGCTCCTGCCAGGACTCCAGCGGTTCTCTAGCTCCAACTAGGATCCTTCCCCGCTGGCAGGGACAAATG